AGCAGGGATGTCCAAAGTGTGGTTTGGGGACCAACTGTGGCCCCCAAACTGCATCACAGGTGTCTGATACAGATGGAGACTTTTTATTTTTAATCAGGTGAAATTATGACTGACATCATGTCATTATAATAGAAAATGTGAAACACGAACACAAAGTTTTTATGTTTTTCTAATGAAGCTTTAATAAAAATTAGAGCCAAATTTATCCAGAGACTTTTATTGAAACTTTGCTGGACCAACAAAGTTAAATCTGGCCAAATGCAGGAATCATTTTGAAACAAAACGTCCCAAATCCTTTCTTTTTACAGGAAATAAATTTATTCAGTTGAGCCAAAATAATTTGAAAACAAGATTATTTTCTATTTTAATACAGCAAACATGTCAAATCATTTTTACATGGTTCTATAAATAACATGTTTTGTAAAAAAAAACAAAAAACAACAAATCGGGCTTTATTTTTTGTCTTTTACAAAAATAAAGGACAAAAATATTTTTGACTCATTGATTTTGACCCTCATGACAAAAAGTTTAAAAATCCCTGGTCACAATCTGATCTCTTGAATTTGCAGTTTGAGGCCTAAATCTTTAATATGATATAAAAAAATTGAGTTTTATCTTAAATTTGACCATCAAACTTTATTTTTACTGAGTTTCTAAAGCACTAAAAATAAATTTTCTCAGATTTTCTGAATGTTATTAGTTCAGCAGAAACACATTGAACTGAATGTAATTAATTCACATTTTTCTAACTAAAAAACAGACATAAAATTATTTATTGCACAAATAAACAGAAAGCAGAAATGCATCTACCCAAAGAACTTTATGCTGCTTCAAACTTCAAAGAAACGACTCTCTCACTAACGATGTGCTTTAAACTGTTTATGTGAAAAATTACATCCCAAATTATTTAAATGTTTTTTTACCTTCAGACTGAGGGATGAAGATCAGAACCGCCATGATGAGCAGAAACATTTCTCCCCTGAAGGTGAAGGTTTGTTGTGATCTGCAGGAAAAGCTGCTGAATGTTTCTGTTCAACCGTTCAGCAGCAAAATATGTGAGCAGGAAAGAAACGATTGTCGTCTTTGGCAACGATATCTAAGAGGAAACTGAGACAGATAAAGACTGAGGACACAGAAATAAAAAGCAAACATTCTCATGCGTCGCAGTTTGGTGCAGCTGAAATGGTTCGATAAGAGAAACGTCTGTTTGCAAATTAAAAATAGTGGCTATTGAGACGACGGCGCTCAAAACGAAGAAGGTCTTCAGATTACAGACTGAAAACGTTTTTCCACCAGGGTAACCAAACACAGATAACATCCAATGCTGCAGCTCCGATCAACGTTCAACTCAACCCAACCATTTACAGTGGTCTAGTCAAAGTCTGTCTGATGAGATGTTTCATAACCAGACATAATACGTAGTTATTTTTGCCTTAATTAAGACAAAACATTGCCAACATTGACTGAAACTTTACGTTAGCAAAAACATTTTAAAAATGTGTTTTTATTTTTCCCTGCTTCACCAGGAACAAAGAGAAAATATTCAAAACATTTTGAATGTTTTAAACCAGCGGTGAAAAACTCCAGTCCTCTGCTGTGCTGCAGTTTTTAGATGTGCCACAGGGACAAAACACTGGAATGAAACGGCTTCATCACCTCCTTCTTGTGCAGTTCAGTTCTCCAGAACCTTAATAACCTCATTATTCTGTGCAGATGTGGTGCAGCAGAGGAACATTAAAAGTTGCAGGGCAGCGGCCCTCCAGGACTGGTAAATGCAGGAAATTATCAGAAATGTTTGGCAGCAGAAAGCAGGTAACCAAGTCTCCCAGGACCAGAGTTTGGTAGCAACTAGTTACATTTACTCAGTTACATTTATTTGAGTTACTTTTTTGAAAAAATTTACTTTTAGGAGTATTTTTACTGTGCTGTATTAAAATCTCTGGATTTTCTTTTCACTGAATGAAAAACATGTTTTAACCAAAAATCCACCAAACCTGCAGTTTCTGTTGAAGTTTCATAAGTTTTATATTGAAAGAAACTGATTTGGAAACATTTTATTTTGCCTGATTTTATTTTTTTTGTTACATATATGAATTATTGTCATTTTGATCCTTGAAATATAAACATTTCCACTTAACTTTATATTGTAGTTCATCATATTATGTAATATTTGATCAGTTACTCAGTACTTGTAGTCTTTTTACCAAATACTTTTTACTTGAGTAAAAATCTGCTGAAGTACCTCTACTCTTACTTTACTACAATTTGTATGTACTCTGTCTGCCTCTGCACCGAGCGACGGCCTGAAGCTCAATTCTGATTTTTCTAATTAAATGCAACAACAATCAGACATGTGAATAAACGTTTTATGAGCCCAAAGTGAAGAAGGTTGAGGCTGCAGAGCAGAACTGTGTTTATGGGAGTAATGATGGATGGAGTCATGAAATGGAATAAAAACAAGAAACAAACCCACAGAAAAACATTAAACTGATTTATTTCACTTTAGTCTTTTCTCAAAACTGAAATCCTTTTGTTGTTGCAGATGCTGTCGTTAAGCATCTAAGAATAGGTTATTTTACAAATACCTTTTAATTAAAAATGCAAAACTTTTTCTCAGATTGCAGCCGTTCAGCCAGCAGGAAAGAAACTTTTTCAGAAGTTTAGTTTTTTCAGAAACTTCTCAGCCTTGTGATGTTTGTGCTGCATGGCGTCAGTAGGAGGACACGCCAAGTTTCCCTGAGAGTAGAAACAAAAAGAGAGAAAAGGACAACGGACTTCAGTGTCAAACATAATTTATCTAAATCTGTAACAGTCATGGAAGAGGAAGCCTCTTGTGTTTTATAAAGTCATGCAAACTTAATATGATGAAACAAAAGCACCGATTAGCCTTTAAAGTAATGATGGCCAAAGGAAAACTGAAATCAAGCAAGCATAATTCTCTAGTTTTTGTTTTTTGCTTGTAGAAAAGGATCGTAGATCCAAAACGTAAAAAAGATTTTTACGTTTCCTGTATTAAGAGAAAAGTTTTCAGATTCTTTTCAGATCAATTTTAAACATTAATTCTCAGATATCAGATCATAATTTGGGTCAGTTTCTTTTAAAATGTTTCCTATATTTATCCAAATTCAGTAAGTTAAAAGCTGACTTGGATGCTTTTCAGTAAGAATCTCTGAATAAACCTGGTTCTATTTATTAGAAGAACTTGGCAGTAAAAAGTTTAAAACTTTGTAACATTTTCAATTATAATAAAATTACTTTGGTAATAATTTTACCCTGATTTAAAAATAAAAAGTCAACCACCTGCTCTGCACAGGCTACATTCTTAAACTGCAGTTGGGACCGCACAAGCTGAGTCAAAGGGCCACAAATGGCCCCCGGGCCACACTTTGGACACCCCTGCTTTAAAGATGATTTAACCTGTTTGCAGGATTATCTGATCTGCTGTGTGTGAATCACTCAGGAGTTTTTTATTCTCACATTTTTTATCTTGTCCTGGAGCCACTTGGAGTCTGGCTTGATGCACAGCGGCAAACCGCTGCCAGTGAGGATCCTACGGAGACACAAACAGGACATTTTGACTAATAAATAACATATTTAATGTGATGAAATTATATTTTATCTCTGCCAGCTGAACTGGGGACGTAGCAAACAGACTAAAACAGCCAATTCACGCATTTTCAAGGTAAGATTTCAAACTTTTCCAAAAGTTTGGAGATAAAAATATAAATTAACTAAAAAAGACAGTTTCAACTCAATATTCTATATGAGTTATTACTAATATTAATATGTTGTGTTAATATGTTTTACAATAAGGACAAGGTAAACTTAAATATAACAACAGTATATGTTTTGAAATATTTCTTTTTCACAAGAGACAACAACTCAACACTAACACTAAAACATCTCCCAATATTAATAACTTTGTACAAAATATAAGATGATCAATAACTCATAAATAGAATACTTATCAATCATATTTATTTATTATTCTAGTTACTAGAATAATAAATATTAAGTCAAAACAATGCCACCAAATCTTAAGATGCTCAAATGCTAAAAAAAAATAAAACTTATAAAAAAAAATCTAAAAAATGCTTTTACTAATTTTTTGGCATTTAGCAAATAGAAATAATTTTGGTAATTCTCTAAAATATTAAAGTTTAGTCTGATTTAACTTCAGATGATGAGAAAATGTATTTTTATTAGGCGTCTTTAAACATCTGATTTTAACTTTAAACATTTTCCAAATTTTACATTTTAATGAAATGTTCGATTGAATTTTATTACAAAACTTTAATAAGTTTAAAAAGTTTAAAAAGTTTGATGTTCAGTTTGAACATCAAACTTCCAAGGACTTGAAAACCTTTCCAAACCTTGAAAACATCAAACTGAAATTCAAGGATTTTAACAAACCTGTGATTAAATATAATTAGCATGAATGCATTAGCATTTAACTCTTTACTCTGATATTAATTTAATGGTTAAACATTGTTGTTAAAAACTTCTGTATTTTCTGTATGTAATTTAATGAATGTAATGATGTAGAACAGTGGATGGATGGTGCTCCTGCTGGGAGAGGAGAAAATTAGGTGGAAGGATGAACTTGTTTTGTATTTGCTGTGCTTACAAAAAGAAGTGTTTGTGGCAGGCTTTTCCTGCTCTTTGTTCGAAACACTTGAAGTTTTCCACGTTTGCCTTCTCTGAGCCCTTCAGGCAGCAGGGTGGACAAACCAAACATTTCACTCCAGACGATGACCCTGAAAAAACAAGGAACAAAAATAGATTTTAATTATTTCTGATCAGAACAGGTGTAAAAATAATTATCATAACACATGTCCAGAAACATTTGTCTCATGGTTCAACAACTGCATATTGTAGATAAACAGAAAAAATAAAGTAAAAAAACTCAGAAATTTTCAGATTAATCTCAGAAATTTTCTTTAAAAATGTTCTGAGTTTCAAAAGTATGAAGTTATTGTAAATTTTCTGAGATTAATCTCTTTATTTCCTTGGTTTTTCTAGCAACTTTTCAAACTCAGAAATTTTGTTTTTTCTAGAAAATTTCTGAGTTTTTTGTGGAAATTATCTAAATGTGTCTACACTATAATGTTTCTGATTGTGAGTGAGGCAGGCAGCTTTTAAAATAAATCAGTTTTAAAAGCTTCATTGATTTGTTTGAATTTCATTTTATAAACGGTTTGTTGAAAATCACCTGCAGAGTTTTCATTAAAGAACTGAAACATTTTTATTGACATTCATCATGGCTGCCATCATGGCTTCCTCTGGTGATTTACCGAGGGCCACCCTGATTTTTATCTCCCTCTGCTGGTTATCTGGGGTACTGCAAGACAATGTTATTTCCAGAAGAAATATGTTGATCAAAATCAAACCAGAGGTGAATCATTTAGTTTGAAATGAGGCTTTTATGGAAAACCCCATCGATGTTTGTTTACATAAATGAAATATGTAAAGAAGAAATGAGTTGGTTAGAGGAGGGGCTGCGGTTGGAAGGATGTAACGAAACGCTGCTTTTTATTCTGATTTACTGATAAAATATTTAGTGTTGCTTCACTTTGATGTACAAACCTTTTAAATTTGCTTGTAACTAAACATTGCATAATAATATAGTGTCAGTCCATATTATTTGTGAAAACTGCAGCAAATACTTCATAATTTGGTACATTTTTAACATCAATGTTTTTAATTTCTTTTTCCTTTTGTTTTACATACAACATAAAACTTATTATTAAAGTGTAATTAATTCATCTTTTGGTTAAATTTATGGTAAAGTAAAATATTTCTCTCTTCTTGATTCCTGCATTGTGTTTGCAGCTGAAGTGCAAACTTCTGCAATTTGTTGCAAAAACAGGTGCAAACGTTTTGCTCCAGCATTTATTTAGTGCAAACGTGTTGCTTTTTAAATCCAGTCCAGAAATAAGGAAAAGAAATTGATTACATCAGGAATTTTCTTAATTTTTTATCTTAAAATAAAATAAATTCTTGGGATTCAAACCAACATTTTAATTATCTTTGCAATATTTTTAAAATAATTTTTATTGTGCGCGTTAGCTAAGCAATGCTTTGTGCATCCTCTTCTTTTATATTTTCCTCTCAATCATTTTGCTAATAATATTTTAAAGTGGATGTTTAAGCAGTTCATATTTACCTGCACTGAGGAGTCCTGATACATGGTAATGTAAATATGAGTAAATATGAGATTGGAGTGAATAAAACGTGGTTTTAGCTGTAAACGTGTCAGCAGAGGGAGAGCTGTTAGTTATTCTGCTTAAAGAACATCAAAAAAATGTAAAAACTTTACTGCTGTGTCTTAAAACTCTAAATTAGTCAAAAGTGAAATGCTTTGATGAAAAACCACTGGTTATTCATGGGGAATATTCAAATATTCACCCATCAGATGTCATAGATATGAGCTGTGGCTGAAAAAGGTGGACAAACCAACTTTTTTAAATGTACGTTACCTGCAGATAAAGTGAGGACGATCCAAACCGTCAAGATGGGCAGAAACATTTTCCCCTGGTGGTGAAAGTCGTCCGTTTGTTTGGGATCTGAAGCCGACCGGATCTCTGCTGGGAACGAACTGCAGCCGTTGCTCCCTGTGACCTTTAACCGTGGCGTACAGATGAAACGCCGGCGATTAATGAAGGTTTCTAAAGAAATGCCTGTGGATGCACATAGACCTCCAACATGAACCACGTTACCAAACCACAGTCTGACAGCCTTCATGCAACTCTCAGCATTAGTTCACCTAAAAGTTTCCACTGGTCAGATCATGTCAGAGATAACGCTGCAGAACAGAGTCTGATGAAAAAAACGGTTTCAACCTCAAGGAGGAGCTTTTCTTCTGACAGACATGAAAACATGAGCAGCTACAAACACAAAAGAGGTTCCAACAGTTGAAGAAACGAGTTTTTCTTCACAGTTTGTTTCTGTTAAATCAACAATTCAAAAGCTATAAAAGGCCTTAAAATGAGGCGTTAATTGAGTCAGGTGTTCTGGGGAAGGATGCAGCAGAAAATGTAACGTTTTAGAGAAGAACCTGACTTCACACAGATGTTTCCAAAAGGCTTTTTGGAAGGGAAAAGTGTTAGCCACTGACAAATTCAAGATGGCCGCCATGGTTTTCAAGGTTAAATTTATGTTGATCTAAAACTACCAATATTTATTACAGATAAATACTTTTGGTGTCAAATCAAACCTAATTGGGCCCACAGAAACCATATTCACTGACAATTTTTGTATTTTCAAGATGGCTACCATGGCTGTTATGGAAACGTAATTTTAGCACTAAAATTGCCCATGAGCTAAATTATGGAAAACCAGTTCATATGTTAAATGTTTTACCCATTTTATTGGCGACATACAGACAGGAGGAGCTGCTCCCACAGAACGGCAGCCAGTGCAGTTAGCGGGAGGTTGATGAATCCCAGGTGAGGCTCGGATCGCTGCTGCCTCACCGGCTTCACTTCCCAGCATTTGAATGGAAAAATGAGAAAATTCAACGATTTTGAAGAAAAAAATATCAAAATTGGTTAAGCTGAATGAAAAATAAATACTTTACAGTGCAAACCACAGGGTGAAAATAGCAATATACATTATTTTATCATTATATTTTTCCGTTATGACAGGAGAGGCTCCGCCCCACTTGCCTCCCCTGACCGCACGTCACTGAACACAGAAACCAGATCAACATAATAACCAGCTCACCGTTACAAGCTAACGGGTCAGAACCACAGGCCCCGCCCCCAAAACACCAGCTGTAATTCATCCAATCATCCGTCACACGCCGCTGGAAGCTCCGCCCCCTTTCAGGTTCATCATCTCTCCATGTTTTCATGGTCCAATAAGCAGCAGAACCACTGAATCCAGCACCGATAGAAAAACCTNATAATTCTCTAGTTTTTGTTTTTTGCTTGTAGAAAAGGATCGTAGATCCAAAACGTAAAAAAGATTTTTACGTTTCCTGTATTAAGAGAAAAGTTTTCAGATTCTTTTCAGATCAATTTTAAACATTAATTCTCAGATATCAGATCATAATTTGGGTCAGTTTCTTTTAAAATGTTTCCTATATTTATCCAAATTCAGTAAGTTAAAAGCTGACTTGGATGCTTTTCAGTAAGAATCTCTGAATAAACCTGGTTCTATTTATTAGAAGAACTTGGCAGTAAAAAGTTTAAAACTTTGTAACATTTTCAATTATAATAAAATTACTTTGGTAATAATTTTACCCTGATTTAAAAATAAAAAGTCAACCACCTGCTCTGCACAGGCTACATTCTTAAACTGCAGTTGGGACCGCACAAGCTGAGTCAAAGGGCCACAAATGGCCCCCGGGCCACACTTTGGACACCCCTGCTTTAAAGATGATTTAACCTGTTTGCAGGATTATCTGATCTGCTGTGTGTGAATCACTCAGGAGTTTTTTATTCTCACATTTTTTATCTTGTCCTGGAGCCACTTGGAGTCTGGCTTGATGCACAGCGGCAAACCGCTGCCAGTGAGGATCCTACGGAGACACAAACAGGACATTTTGACTAATAAATAACATATTTAATGTGATGAAATTATATTTTATCTCTGCCAGCTGAACTGGGGACGTAGCAAACAGACTAAAACAGCCAATTCACGCATTTTCAAGGTAAGATTTCAAACTTTTCCAAAAGTTTGGAGATAAAAATATAAATTAACTAAAAAAGACAGTTTCAACTCAATATTCTATATGAGTTATTACTAATATTAATATGTTGTGTTAATATGTTTTACAATAAGGACAAGGTAAACTTAAATATAACAACAGTATATGTTTTGAAATATTTCTTTTTCACAAGAGACAACAACTCAACACTAACACTAAAACATCTCCCAATATTAATAACTTTGTACAAAATATAAGATGATCAATAACTCATAAATAGAATACTTATCAATCATATTTATTTATTATTCTAGTTACTAGAATAATAAATATTAAGTCAAAACAATGCCACCAAATCTTAAGATGCTCAAATGCTAAAAAAAAATAAAACTTATAAAAAAAAATCTAAAAAATGCTTTTACTAATTTTTTGGCATTTAGCAAATAGAAATAATTTTGGTAATTCTCTAAAATATTAAAGTTTAGTCTGATTTAACTTCAGATGATGAGAAAATGTATTTTTATTAGGCGTCTTTAAACATCTGATTTTAACTTTAAACATTTTCCAAATTTTACATTTTAATGAAATGTTCGATTGAATTTTATTACAAAACTTTAATAAGTTTAAAAAGTTTAAAAAGTTTGATGTTCAGTTTGAACATCAAACTTCCAAGGACTTGAAAACCTTTCCAAACCTTGAAAACATCAAACTGAAATTCAAGGATTTTAACAAACCTGTGATTAAATATAATTAGCATGAATGCATTAGCATTTAACTCTTTACTCTGATATTAATTTAATGGTTAAACATTGTTGTTAAAAACTTCTGTATTTTCTGTATGTAATTTAATGAATGTAATGATGTAGAACAGTGGATGGATGGTGCTCCTGCTGGGAGAGGAGAAAATTAGGTGGAAGGATGAACTTGTTTTGTATTTGCTGTGCTTACAAAAAGAAGTGTTTGTGGCAGGCTTTTCCTGCTCTTTGTTCGAAACACTTGAAGTTTTCCACGTTTGCCTTCTCTGAGCCCTTCAGGCAGCAGGGTGGACAAACCAAACATTTCACTCCAGACGATGACCCTGAAAAAACAAGGAACAAAAATAGATTTTAATTATTTCTGATCAGAACAGGTGTAAAAATAATTATCATAACACATGTCCAGAAACATTTGTCTCATGGTTCAACAACTGCATATTGTAGATAAACAGAAAAAATAAAGTAAAAAAACTCAGAAATTTTCAGATTAATCTCATACAATTTCTAGGAAAAATAAGGAATTTCCTGAGTTTTAAAAGTTAAAGATTTTCTAGAAGAAGAAAAAAACTCAGGATTTTTCCAGAAAAATCTTGAAAAAGTCTGAATTTGAAAAGTTTAAACATTTCTAGAAAAAACTCTGAAATGTTCAGGATTAATCTCAGAAATTTTCTTTAAAAATGTTCTGAGTTTCAAAAGTATGAAGTTATTGTAAATTTTCTGAGATTAATCTCTTTATTTCCTTGGTTTTTCTAGCAACTTTTCAAACTCAGAAATTTTGTTTTTTCTAGAAAATTTCTGAGTTTTTTGTGGAAATTATCTAAATGTGTCTACACTATAATGTTTCTGATTGTGAGTGAGGCAGGCAGCTTTTAAAATAAATCAGTTTTAAAAGCTTCATTGATTTGTTTGAATTTCATTTTATAAACGGTTTGTTGAAAATCACCTGCAGAGTTTTCATTAAAGAACTGAAACATTTTTATTGACATTCATCATGGCTGCCATCATGGCTTCCTCTGGTGATTTACCGAGGGCCACCCTGATTTTTATCTCCCTCTGCTGGTTATCTGGGGTACTGCAAGACAATGTTATTTCCAGAAGAAATATGTTGATCAAAATCAAACCAGAGGTGAATCATTTAGTTTGAAATGAGGCTTTTATGGAAAACCCCATCGATGTTTGTTTACATAAATGAAATATGTAAAGAAGAAATGAGTTGGTTAGAGGAGGGGCTGCGGTTGGAAGGATGTAACGAAACGCTGCTTTTTATTCTGATTTACTGATAAAATATTTAGTGTTGCTTCACTTTGATGTACAAACCTTTTAAATTTGCTTGTAACTAAACATTGCATAATAATATAGTGTCAGTCCATATTATTTGTGAAAACTGCAGCAAATACTTCATAATTTGGTACATTTTTAACATCAATGTTTTTAATTTCTTTTTCCTTTTGTTTTACATACAACATAAAACTTATTATTAAAGTGTAATTAATTCATCTTTTGGTTAAATTTATGGTAAAGTAAAATATTTCTCTCTTCTTGATTCCTGCATTGTGTTTGCAGCTGAAGTGCAAACTTCTGCAATTTGTTGCAAAAACAGGTGCAAACGTTTTGCTCCAGCATTTATTTAGTGCAAACGTGTTGCTTTTTAAATCCAGTCCAGAAATAAGGAAAAGAAATTGATTACATCAGGAATTTTCTTAATTTTTTATCTTAAAATAAAATAAATTCTTGGGATTCAAACCAACATTTTAATTATCTTTGCAATATTTTTAAAATAATTTTTATTGTGCGCGTTAGCTAAGCAATGCTTTGTGCATCCTCTTCTTTTATATTTTCCTCTCAATCATTTTGCTAATAATATTTTAAAGTGGATGTTTAAGCAGTTCATATTTACCTGCACTGAGGAGTCCTGATACATGGTAATGTAAATATGAGTAAATATGAGATTGGAGTGAATAAAACGTGGTTTTAGCTGTAAACGTGTCAGCAGAGGGAGAGCTGTTAGTTATTCTGCTTAAAGAACATCAAAAAAATGTAAAAACTTTACTGCTGTGTCTTAAAACTCTAAATTAGTCAAAAGTGAAATGCTTTGATGAAAAACCACTGGTTATTCATGGGGAATATTCAAATATTCACCCATCAGATGTCATAGATATGAGCTGTGGCTGAAAAAGGTGGACAAACCAACTTTTTTAAATGTACGTTACCTGCAGATAAAGTGAGGACGATCCAAACCGTCAAGATGGGCAGAAACATTTTCCCCTGGTGGTGAAAGTCGTCCGTTTGTTTGGGATCTGAAGCCGACCGGATCTCTGCTGGGAACGAACTGCAGCCGTTGCTCCCTGTGACCTTTAACCGTGGCGTACAGATGAAACGCCGGCGATTAATGAAGGTTTCTAAAGAAATGCCTGTGGATGCACATAGACCTCCAACATGAACCACGTTACCAAACCACAGTCTGACAGCCTTCATGCAACTCTCAGCATTAGTTCACCTAAAAGTTTCCACTGGTCAGATCATGTCAGAGATAACGCTGCAGAACAGAGTCTGATGAAAAAAACGGTTTCAACCTCAAGGAGGAGCTTTTCTTCTGACAGACATGAAAACATGAGCAGCTACAAACACAAAAGAGGTTCCAACAGTTGAAGAAACGAGTTTTTCTTCACAGTTTGTTTCTGTTAAATCAACAATTCAAAAGCTATAAAAGGCCTTAAAATGAGGCGTTAATTGAGTCAGGTGTTCTGGGGAAGGATGCAGCAGAAAATGTAACGTTTTAGAGAAGAACCTGACTTCACACAGATGTTTCCAAAAGGCTTTTTGGAAGGGAAAAGTGTTAGCCACTGACAAATTCAAGATGGCCGCCATGGTTTTCAAGGTTAAATTTATGTTGATCTAAAACTACCAATATTTATTACAGATAAATACTTTTGGTGTCAAATCAAACCTAATTGGGCCCACAGAAACCATATTCACTGACAATTTTTGTATTTTCAAGATGGCTACCATGGCTGTTATGGAAACGTAATTTTAGCACTAAAATTGCCCATGAGCTAAATTATGGAAAACCAGTTCATATGTTAAATGTTTTACCCATTTTATTGGCGACATACAGACAGGAGGAGCTGCTCCCACAGAACGGCAGCCAGTGCAGTTAGCGGGAGGTTGATGAATCCCAGGTGAGGCTCGGATCGCTGCTGCCTCACCGGCTTCACTTCCCAGCATTTGAATGGAAAAATGAGAAAATTCAACGATTTTGAAGAAAAAAATATCAAAATTGGTTAAGCTGAATGAAAAATAAATACTTTACAGTGCAAACCACAGGGTGAAAATAGCAATATACATTATTTTATCATTATATTTTTCCGTTATGACA